CTTCAATTTAGTTAGTTCGAAAACTTGGGATTGACTGAGAAATATAAGGCTTGAAATCCGCTATGTCAAAACAAAATGTAGCTGAAATAACAGAAATCTTTTAGAGAAATGATGTTGCCAATGCCAAATATCTTGTTACGCCTTTTTTTTGTTAATTAATAAAACACAATAATAAATACTATCTAACGGTTGGTCCAAGCAAAACAGTTGTCTGGTGGCGTGCAAATTTATACTCTAGCTCACAAATCGGAGAGTGGGGCCAGTGACTTAGGATGGATTAAGCCACAACTCACCGAGATGTTAGTCGGAACTTGTTTTGCTTGACCAGCACACAAAAGGAGAATGTAACAGAGATCACGAAATTTAAGTAACAGTACACACAGAGAGAGACAAATAAAAAAAGATATTAAATGAATCACAATATATTGTAATAAAAAAACGCACATGTGCTCCACTACTGGAGTGCGAGTTAAAAAAAAGAAAGGATGTTATAAATCTTAAATACAACCTAACAAAATTATTTTTCGAGATAACCCCGCGAGACGTCTACCATGGTATACGCCCGAAGTACTTACAGATATTTTGCGCCTAAATATTAAACTTATCTGTAGGTCTTCTTCGTTAGCCGCGGCCGAGATGTCCTCAACTCTGGTCAAAAAGTGGCCCGTAGTGGGCATGTCACTGGGCTGCTTGCCTCGTTGCCAAAAATTATGGTAGTAAAAAAACCCTAGAGAGAGAGAGAGAGAGAAAGAGTGTTTAAAAATCTACTCTACTCTCTGTCTGAGATAAAACTACTCGTTGAAAACAATCGCACTTCAAGCAAAACCATGTACATGTTTTTGTACAAGAAAAGTAAAGCAAAGGCAAAAAAGATAAAAATGTACTAACTAATACATTATTATTCTAAAAATTCAATCAATGTAATAGAAGGTGCCATGTAGGCACTGCCCTCATATTTGAATACGTAGAATGTCCAATAAAATCAAGAAGTCTCTAAGAATTTCAATAAGTAATAATAAATGTATAAAGATCTTTGAAATTGTTAATTAGAATGATATTTTTCCTGTTCACATCAGGTTTTTTTTTTCAAGGAGATGGCTTCCACCAATTTGCAAAACTGCAACAAGAATCAACCAACCGGAGGAGAAAGGACGATAATTCTCTTCTGTTCCTATTGGCTAAAAGGCAGCAGCTATTGAACGAACGTCATCAGGACACGCATTAAGGCACGTGGTCCGAAGGTATATAAAAAAGAACTTACACAAGTTACACAAAAAAAGTGTGCTAGTCCATGAATTGGCGCTTGGGACCTAATATGCCAGAGTCCGGAAAATGACGAAACGACCCCTGCACCACGACCTCAACGGAAACAGAAAAACGAATCACGCAGAACACGTAACGTTCTAGAAGAAGGTATCTTGAGTGGCCTTGAAGAAGATATGTTTTATAGGAAACCAACTAATGGAGAAAAACTACAGAGTTTTTTGCTGATCGTCAACACCATACTGAATCGCTGATAAAGAAAGATATCGTACGAGTGAAATTATACAATGAATAAACTATTAAATTTGCCAATAGAAAATCATTGAAAAGGGTTTGTCCTAGGAATGGGCACTCTATTATTAATGAAGAGAAATTCAAATTACGGATAAGTGATAAATAGTAATAAAAAGGTTACGTGTTTTTGGCACGTGACAACTCCCCCTCTCCTTGGAGTAGAAGGGTATCTACAGTGTAGATAACCGACGATAGTTAATAACGCTGAGCTACCAATAACCTATAGAAACAAGAATCAAGCTGATTATCAGAATCAAAGAGAATATTCAAATTCACACGAAAATTCCCACCAAAAAAATATTCTAATGGGTACACTGGCAATACTTTTGAAGTGGAAACTGATCTACTCATGTTCGGCGACCAGATAAATTAGCACTGCGTAATCCTTATTGGGCCTGAGGATAATCTCGTGTACCAATCTCATTCCGAAACAAAGGCAGAGCCCCCATTACACCTCTCCGTACACCAAGCCAGACATGACCAACCGATGGTGGACAGCACAATAACAAGAATTGTAACCCATATTTCCACCCTTATATGGAGCTAAGATATAGTTCTACCAGACTGAAAGGTACTCAAGGCACCAGGATTCGATCAAACAAAGAGAAAAAAAGACAAATTTAGATAGGGTGATCCGTGATGTGTTACTGCCGGCGATCCGTCTGAAAGCTATACTGAGCGGGGCTGAGGTGTAACGCAGTAGCAACGGGGTGTTTGTCATCGTCAGGATGTTACTGAGACGCCCACCAAACCAATCGCACCCGACGCACACCCTCCCGAATAAAACCTGCACAAAGGGTAACAAAATGGGGCCTGACACACGTCGGCGCTCAACACAACGCAGCCTTTAATGAATCAACCTAAATTACAAAAAAAAAGAAATTGATCGAAGCCACACAACATCCAAGGTCAATATCGGTATTAAAAGTCAAAATCAGGTAATAACAAGATCAAGATCAGGACATGAGTTATGACACGTCCAAAATCATGAATCAAAAAAGGAAGAAAATATAACGTAAAGGCAAGATAAGATAAACGAACTAATAAAGGTAATCAATACTTGATCACGAAGATAAAAGATAGTCGAAATAGGAAAATTAAATCAAGGAATGGATATGTCAAATTTAACATAACATTCAGTAGTCTCAGAAGAGAACAAATTGTATACCCACTTGTTGATATGTGCAGACTTGCAAGTTTTCCTCCAAGCAATCTGGCCATACCCAACAAATTGTCCACTCTACAGGACAAAACGTAAGATAAGACAAGATAAGAAAAACAACGTAATTCAAGAATTTACTGAACAAAGGGAGTTATCAATCGACAAACTCCTACCTTCCTTCACATAGATGGATGAATATGACAAGGTAAGACAAGAGTAAGCAACTAATCGATCTAGTAAAAGACAAGGATAATAATGTTCAGTATATCGCATAACCTAAATCACCACTCGATAATAGGAACAGTTATGTGGAAAAATCCAACAATTAAGACTCAACACGGTAGTGATTAACTTATATGAGCCAGGTTATTCAGATGGTATAGCTTAGATGTTATAAAGTGTTGATACATGTTGGACTACCACCGGCAGTTTTCCCGCCACGGACAAATTCTAAGGCCCAGCCCGTAGGGCTTCGGAAGGAGGTCCCATGCACCTCTGTTACAGATTTGCGCAGAACACTGGATAATGATCCTGAGGCATCTTCCTTGATGGAAGACGCAGATGTAGATGACTTCTTACAGCTCCTTCATCGAGAGATGGCACAGATGGTCTTTGAAGAGCAAGTGATCAAGCATGAGGAGGAAGCAAAGAAAGAGACTGAGGATATTGTTGACCCTCATCTGCACCCTTGCAAAAAATCTGTCAGCAGATGTGCTCTGATGAAAATGGGACTTGTGCAGCCTGCCAGGCCAAAATGAGCGATGATATGAAGAGCTCTTAAACCTCGATTGTTCCATGGGTTGATGATGTGGGGCATTAGATGGGGGGTAGTTAGTTTTTCTAACCAACCAATTTTGTCAGCATATAACTTGAGAAAATTTAGCTATGTAATACACGAGGTGAAAACTTCATTTGGTGGATGCCCCTTAATATGCCTGATAGGTCCATAAAGTGTTTCAACGAGTCATTCAATATTTAGAGGTGGAAGCAACAAATGTAATTGCAAAAAAAATCAGAAAATTCTTTCCACAAACGCGAATTTTCCGCCTTGTGTAAGTAGTTCCAGTGAAAATAACAGTTGTGATGTGATGATTCGATGCCTTAACTTAGCCATACCGGAGCCAACTGAAGTGTATAGTAAACATTGGTATATTTTCCTACGCTAATACTGTAAACCAAAATACCAATTTTTATATCTAGCTCCTACATCTTTATAGGCCCTTAAACATCTTGCGCAATTTGTTTTTCTATTGTTGCGTGTTCTAATTTTATAGTTTCAGTTATACCCCAGTTGCATGTAAAAATTTCTGTAAAGACTGATATTCATGGAGGAGATGCTAGGAATACTTTTGCACCTTGAATCTAAAGCATAGTCTTCCACTACTTGAACCAAAGATGAAGTATAGAATGTGAAAACTGATGTGCTTCTATGTAAAATGTCTAGGAATTTTATTTTTATTGGAGAGAACAGTACGCCTTGAACCCTATCACATTTATTTAGTAAACCCAAAATCAAGGTACTGACTGAAAATCGCGGAATACGTTATATTTATGCTCCACAAAAATCTCCGATTTCTCTGGAAATTGTGAGCAAATAAATTAGATGAATATCTTAAAAGTGTGTTTAGAAGTGCAACAAAATCAGTGAATGCCACAAAAATAGTAAATCGAAGAAGGAAGGTGTAGTACGAGGTGAGTCTGATTCCATCTGTCCAGTTGGTATATAATAAAAAGTATCGAGTATCGATAAAGGTCAAGGTCCGACGGGTTGACTCACCCACTGACTTTTTGTGCGGCTTGACCATCTATAAGATATAATATAACATAAGATATAGGAAAAGGTAAACAAGATAACACGAAATTTCGTGAACAATCGAATACATTTAAGAACAGTGACGGAATGATGCAAAAAGGAAAGCGGAGGACTGAGACGACATATTTAAAAAACCCAAGAAAACTAACAGGTCACCACGACGAACCGATACGACAAACCAAGGAATGCTAAATGAAATGATGAGCTTGCTGACAACACTGGCAGCAGATGAGAAGATATAAGATATTAAAAACCAACAGGCCCTACAAACTGAACACATACAATCATTGAAAAGTGAAATCCAGGAGTTTAAAAAAGAACAAGAGGAGTTAAGAAGGAAGTAAGGATCCTAAAAGAGGCAAATGAAAATGCCCTAATCGAAATTGATCACCTTAAAAAGCAGGTAACCGACTCTAACGAGAAGTTACAAAGTATAGAAAATAAAAAAAGGAAAAAAGAATATTGTAGTTCAAGGCCTGCCAATAAATGATAGAACAAGCACATTGAGAGAACCTATGCACAACTTTATCCAGAAAGAAATTGGAGTAGATGTGAAAGTCAACTCAGCAAGGAAACTAGGAGAAAAGGTTTGCCTAGTAGAGTTTGACAGCTATTCTGATAAGAGTCATGAAACATAAGAGCAAACTCAATAAACTAAGCGAAAAGGTATACATAAACAATGATCTGTCGAAAATTGAAAGGCAAATACAGACCAAGATCAGAATTATTTCCAGAGATCCAAGAGTTAAAGGAAAGCAAATCAAAATGGCGTACCAAAAACTCATTATAGATGGAGAAGTATGAAAATGAAACATCGAAACAGATCAGCTGGAAAGATGAAAAATAACAGACAAAAAGCTAGAAAACCTGGATGCTCTCAGTGAGATAATGATGATGACCAGGCTAGCAAAGGGACTACGAAGTGGAAAATCAAAAACAAAGATAAAAACAAAACAGACTTGAAACGCGGCACATGGAATATAAGAGGCTTGTGCCAAGCTGGTCGATTAAAACACTTGGCCAATGAATTAGAAAAACACAACTTTCAAATAGTGGCATTACAAGAAACCAAACAAAAAGGACAATGCAACCAGCAAATTGGAAATTACATATTTTTCAGCAGTGGTGGGGAGAATAGATTATTTGGAACAGGATGTATGGTTAGCATGCGGCTTAAAAGTATAGTAGGAGATTTTAGCCCTGTATCTGAAAGGATATGTACGCTCGTGATATGGGGAAAATATCAAAAAATAACTTTCATAAATGTGAATTATTAGATGAAATGAAATATATGATCGTATACCAAGGTATGACTTGAAAATAGTAATAGGGGATACCAATGCTAAGATAGGCAGAGAAGAAGTATACTTTCCCACAATTGGAAGACATAGTCTGCATATGGAAACAAATGAAAATCGTCATTTTCTAATAGATTTTGTCAGGGAAAAAGCTTGGATTATAAAAAGCACATACTTTGAGAAAAGACATTTACAAAGGCACATGGAGGTCGCCCAATGGTGAGACGATCAATCAATAGACCACGTATTGATAGATAGGATGAAGAAAAATGTATCACGAACGTAAGAACCTACAGGGGACCCGATGCGGACTCTGACCACTTCATTGTTGGAACAATGTTGAGAGAAATTAAGCAAAGCAGGACTGATCAGACTACAGACTGAAGAAGAACGGAAAGAATATGAAGGGAACTTACCAAAGAATTGAATAGAATTACGCAGAACGAGAATGTAGATCAGGCATGCTAACAAGGGTACTAAAGTCAAACAGCAACCTTGGTTCGATGATCAATGCAGAGAAGAATTGGAAATGCAAAACAGATTACGACTAAAAATGCTAACACAGAAAACAAGTGAGGCGGAAAGTAACTACTCCTTGCAAAAGAAGAAAATGAAACGATTTTAAGAGAAAAGAAAATATCACGAAAATAATCTACAGCACATAGGAGACAATTATAAAAAAACAAACAGATCAGAAACTTATATCAAGGAGTAAATAATGAAAAGCGGGGTTACCAAACTAGAACTACGTACTACAAGGATAAAATGGTAAGAAGATATTCGATGAGGAAGAGGCCCTTGCACGCTGGAAACAATACTTTGAGCAGTTGCTAAACCCTGCAGACGACGCGGCCAATGACTACAACGAGAAAAATTCAACAACCCATCAAAGACCTCAACTAACTGAAGAAGATCCGCAAACATTATCGGTAGTCGAAAACCTCATAAGCATCCTGAAAATGGTAAGATCCAAAAATGTTTAATCTGTTTTTAACTTGTCTTGTCATATTTTATATAATTTTGACCATTGTACCATCTATCCAGCTCTCACCATGTTCTGGACGTTTCCCTCATCCTATACGTAAACAACAATTAGCAACATCCTCACATACTACTCTCCTGATGATGATGGCAAAGTCCATTGAAAGCTAGAGAGAATTAAAAAAAGTATAAAGAGTCCTCTTTGCTTAAATTTGTCGAAGTACCCAACAAAAGGCGGAAGCTATATATATATATATATATATCTATATATAATAACTTGAGACGTGGTCATTGTCGTCTAAACCAGTTAGGTGAAAAATTAAAGCTTCCGCCTTTTGTTGTGGGTACTTCGACAAAATTTAAGCAAAGAGGACTCTTTATACTTTTTTTAATTCTCTCTAGCTTGGAGTGACTTTAATTTTTCGCGTCACCGATTCATACAAAGATAATACTTTATTTTTAAAAAAAAAAAAACTGATCGAAATTAAAATCGATGAGAATGCAGAAGCGACGCAGCATGTGTTAAAGCTTAGAGAGCGCGTAGCCGCCCTATCTGAGCCAACCATGGTGGAAATCGTCGAGGAAGCAATACAATCGAATTCCGAAAGTAGCACATCTACTTCCGCAACTTACTCTGACGACACCGTACAAGACCGACTTGAAATGGAAAACCGCGACTTAAACATCTATGCGAGTTTGAGATTGATGGAGACAAATTTATGCTCCGATATTTCACACAGTGCAAGAAATGCGGGATTGGGAAA